AGTGCAACAAGGTTCAATTTCCACTGTTTGCTTTTCATTCATAAAGTCTCACAGTTCTTTTCATTGGTCTGACTCTGAGCCCCCTGCCTCCTTCAAGAGGAATATTCTTTCTTTATAAAACATTTGAAGGGGCAGGTTTTGTCTTTAAAAGTTGGGCTGACCAAAATCATCAAATCTCTCCAGAAGCCTCCAAGTAGAACCACTTCAAGTCTCGCATTAAGAGCGTCATTTTACTGAACCTAGTCTAACTAAGCGTTTCTCAATGGTCTTCCTTCCGGGTCGCCTTTCCTTCTTTGCCTCAAGTCAGTCATGGAGGAGCTCTTGTAGACAGTTTGGGGATTTGAAGACATCGGGAACCTCGTGGTCCAGTTTGCAGATCACCTTATAGATGGCCTTCTTCCAGGACGGGTCTGCATCCTTCCCAGCACGATGGCATTAAAGAACTCACGAAGAGTCACCTGGACACCTCCAGGAATCGCTCGGGAACCTGAAGGGAAACAAAGGTAAAGGGTGGGGGAAAGAGGTAGAGAGAAAAGAGAGAATCATAAGTGATTGTTTGAACTAAAGAGGAACTTCCACTCAATCCCTTCCCCTTCGATGTCCTAAATGTCAAATACAGAAACTGTTTTACTTCTGTATGAGTGGTATATGCAGTGCATTATTGTCTTTTAAGAAAAAAGTACCTCGAGGCATACATTACATGGTCAGACAGGACTTCAGACAATATTCAAACAGCTCCACACTCAAATAATACAAACTTCAATTGAGAATGGTGTACTTGTTCTACGCCACATATTTGACATTAAGCACTTAAGTGCAACTGAAGTTTGCCAAGTTCTTCACTTTTCTAATATACTTTTCATATGTGCCGCTGCCATTAAAAGAAAAATATTCTGTCAATATCCGCCGGGGGTGGACATGACTAAAATCATGATTGGAATACAAACATGTTTAAATATAGAAACACTAGAAAAGTGATTTTGCAACTGAAACTTATCGAGAATTAGGTTAAGTGTGCGTGTGTTTCAGGTGTCCATATATACTATTCCTGTACCAGGTTCTTCTCCAGCTGTCAACTTCCCCTTAATGTACTTCCCCTTTCTTAAAAGCCTCCAGCCGTGTGTGTTTGGTCTCAAGAGTTCCTTATGCTCACACAACATGACAGATGACACACTCGGTCCTTGACAATGGCAGGTGAACAGTTGTCTGTGATCTGTCAAAACAGAGTGTGTGTGGGTGTGTGTGTGGGTGTGTGTGTGTGACTGTGTGTGTGATGCAGAGTTTAAATAAGAACGAAGGGATTGTCGGGATCCAATTGTCCTTTCCACATGCAGGCATACATATACTGTCATCACAGGGCTTTTCGTGTGTGCGTGGGTTTTAATGCTGTGTGTGTGCTCATAGCAGTGTTTGACAGCAGAACAATGGCAGACACACCCACCCACAACACACGTTTTGTGCCCTTTCTCCCGGGGGCAAGATCATACAAAGACACTTAACAACCTGACTAGATACTCTCCCCCCTCATTTTTTTCTCTTTGTCTCTTTTTTTGCATGCAGATGCACACGCACGCACACACGTGCACGCACCACCACATGCACGCACACGCGCACACACACACACAACCACACACACACACACACACACATCCAACAACACACACACACACATCCAACAACACACAGGAGGCTGACTTTTGCAAATGAGGTGCATGCTCCTATGCACCCAAACACACTCACACTCTCACACACACACACCTACTAGAGGACGAGAGAGAGCCGTCTGGGTGTCCCCGTCATGCGTGGCAGGACATGCCAAGGTTAGCCGCAACCAGAACGGACGAATCACCCCACACACCCCACACACACCCACACACACACACACCACAACACACACACACACCCTAAATGATTCCCTGGACTCTCATAGAGGTCTGGCTACCCTCAGCTACCCTCTTCTCTTTTTTAGCTGGCCTCTTGAGACCACAGTTATTATATGAGGCCCTCTGTCACTGTCTTGCTATAGACACTACTGTACACACACACACACACACACACACACACACACACCACACACACACACACACACACACACCACACACACACACACACACACACACACAAACACCACAACACATCTTTTTATACAGACTCACCCCAAATATTTAGCTTTACAGGTGATATCTACACCGATTGGTAGGTTTTCCACAAAAGTTTCACAAAAGCTAGAGTCTGATTTTGATCATTTTGATCAGTTATGGTCACATGAAGCTCAAAAAAATCCAAACCAGTGTATTTGGAAGTGAAATACAATCTGATTTCCCCTATTAGGCCCACAGTTAGACAGATGCTGTAGGTGTAAGGGAACCAGGGAGTAGGGTTGTAGTTCTGATAGTTGACTTAGGGTTGTGTGAAATTCATGTTTTTCTTTTTCACTGCTGTATTTGAGATCCCAGCAATTGTGTTGGTTGAAGCAATCTGTTATATGAGATGGAAATTATCGGATGTATCTATTTCAACAACATTTAATAAAGTAAACAAATACTATTATTATCAAACCAAAACCTTTTAATCTAAACCTGTTTTGTTTTAGCTCTGAAGGAAAATAGAGGAAGCCCCAAAGTCAAGCTGCTGTTTTTAATAGTTGCTGTGAATCTCTCCACTGGGACAAATAAAAGTTGAAACCTGAGCTTGATCTTGAAGATGAATGTGCCTTTGAGGCGTCCTGCCCCTCCTGGATTACATCCCTGCTTCATTGTCTCTTCAAATGGTTAGTATCTATAAAAATAGAGACAAATCCACTATTTTTAAACATCTTCCTAGATTTTCTTTTTCTTATGTTTTCCTTCTGATGTTAATATTTGTGCGCTCCTCAATCCGGATGCTCTGATTGAGCTAAATCCTCTGCATTGAGACATCAATCACAATGAGCTCAATGGTCCACAGTAAGAGAGAGGTAGTGACCTTGTCCTAGAAGGGCCCTGGCCTGAGTGTGTGGTGTTGCAGTGTGCCTTGTTCAGCATGATGATCGGTGTTTTACATTTTTTTTTCAGAATGAAGTGCGTCATCATGGCAACGGTGAGAGGACTCAAAAGGCTGAAACAAGACTACAGTGGGGAGACAGAAGGACACGGCCCATTCACAGAGAGGTAGGAAAACTACAAATGAAAATTAAGCAGGGAGGATATTGTGTGTCCGGTCGGGTATCTCAACTGAGTGCACACACACACACACACCACACACAACACCACACACCACACACACACACACACACACCACACACACACACACACCACACCACACCACACACACACACACACACACACACACACACACACACACACACACTCTGACACACGCCTGGGTCCAGATGCCCAGCTTTGTCTGGCCATCGTAAATCAGTCTAATAAAGAGATCTAAATTAGGCCATCATCAATACAGATGGGCCCGTTTCCCCCATGTCTGTGTGTGTGTGTGTGTGTGATTTACTCCTGGCTCAAGTCTTGATATGGCATGGAGTTGCCAGGAGAGAGAGTGTGGGTGAGGAATGGGGAAAGTGGGAAAGAGTAGGGAAGATAAAGAGGAAGAAAGACACTTGGTTTCCAGTAAACATAATTCGCATGATTGCTCCGGTTCGGTGGGTAAATATTGGACGAAGGGAGGCTCAATTACTCTCTCTTCACACACACACACACACACACACACACACACACACACACACACACACACACACACACACACACAACACAACCCCAGAAGCACAAGAGCCTGTAAATCTCTACATCGCTGCCCAACAAAGGCCTACTGGGACGCCCCCTCCTCCTTTTCTCTTCCCTCTCTCTCTTCATCGTTCTCCTCTTTTGTTCATCGGCCCCTCTCTCTTCTTGTAAGTGTAGTTTTATGAGGGACTTAGTGGCTGAGTTTGTTTTTATACATCACAAGCAAAAGCATCACACGCCTTGTAAGATATTTAAGAGTGATGATCTCCGTGTGCTGACAAAAGATTTGCCGCTGTGAAGAAATGACACCTGCTGTTTGATTTTCCTGATGATTTAACAATTTATCTTAAACCATTTTCGTTGCTTGTGGTCCATTTTATTAAAGTGTATGAAGTACAAATACAAAGTTGGCAACGTTTTTCCCATCAAATGTAACTGTTGTGTTAACCTCAATTACCGTCAAAACAAAATGATGTTTCCTGCTTTGATTTAACGGTACGGCCCTCTCCTTCACATAGCATTCTATGGTGCATTGCAGGTTGTAGTAGCAACCATAGCTGCTGATGTTTGATAAACAGGTAGCAGTCACACAAAAGATGCGCCCCCCCCTGCAGAAAATCACTTCATCACTAAGGCCCGGTGTTAAGCACTTAGCAACAGTGACGTCCGCGCTGCTAATTCAGTCATTTCTTACAGTGCAGGCCACGAGAAACAAAGGGCACTGTTGCACTAAAACATATTTTAGAATACAGGAGAGCTTTTTATAAGTAGGTTGCTTCTTTGATGAACACACTGCCCCGTTTGAACACATCCCAAATAGACAGAAAACGTGTCTGTCACATGTGGAAATCAACTTCATCCCTCATAACATCTACCTAGACAATGGATACTCTTAAATGTAGTTACAGCCAATATCGATATGGTTCCTTTATGGAAACAAGTGTCGCTGCCTTAAAGATCAATCACTGAATCTACACAATAATAATCCAGTTCCTCGAGTATTTGAACATAATTGAACGATCAAAAGGAGTAGTTTTTATAGTTCCACCTCACTGGCCTTTGTCTTATCTCGTCACCTTCCTTTAAACCCTTGACTCTTCTTCCTTTTCCTTAACTTTTGCGAACCACCTCTTTGACATCTATCCTCATTATCAGTCCATAAGTTCCTGACCCTTCTCTTTTTTCCTCCCCTCCCCCAATTGATCCCCTTCTCTTTTCCTGCCGCCTCCCCTCCTCTCCTCTCTTGTGAATAAACCACTCCTCCTCCTCCACTCCTTTTTTCCTCTGCACACTGTCAACATGAGGCTGATGGAGACGTCTGGGTTGTGCTGTGTGTGGTGTGTGTGTGTGGTCCTCGGTTGACTCTACCTATTCACCTCTCCTTACGTCTTTCCACCTGCGTTTCCACCCGTCTCTCTGTTTCCTTTCCATCCTCACTCTGCTTCTCGCACAAAAGGGGGGGAACGCACACCAGGCTCTTAAGAAATCACTGTACAAACACCATATGTCTCGTTCTCAAGGTGTGTACAAAACAGAACGAGGCTGTTGTGTGTGCGTGTGTGTGTGTGTGTGTGTGTGTTGTGTATTGTGTGTTGTGTGTTGTGTCTTCTCCTCTCCCTTTAAGTCTTTTTACCTCCCTCCATTAACATGGTAGACTTTCACAATGTTTACTCAAGTGTGTGTACACTGGTTTATTCGGATCCAAAGCGTTTTTTTTTACAAGATTGCCTTTTTGTGCGCTGCTTGATCATTGATCATTTAGCTCACT